AAAAAAACCCCAAAACCCCCCACATTCTTTTACTTAAGGCTTTTGAGTTTTCTTAATCAGCAAAAATAGATATTTTTTCAATATTTAAACCAGTTGCCACAGAACATTTATTAGCATGTCCAAGATAATGTTGAATAAGATACTTAGGTTTACCAATTATAAAGCACATGTGCTACTTCTCAGTTTGTGATTATCCATTGGGTTTAATATTAGTGATATTGCTGGGGCATTGCTGTACAGTTCCCTCTCTCTTTCTTCTTCTCTTCTCTTAAGATGTCTGTTCTGGTCAATTTCTGCTTGCTCTCTTATTTGTTTGTTTGTTTTATTTAGCCTTTTTTGTGCACCCTGAATCGACATTTATGGGTGAGTTGTGCGTGTTCCATGGATAGGTTCTTGAGTTTCACTCTTTTTTCTCAGTCGTCTGCAAATGTCATCCATAGCCCAGTGCTGCAGACGAAAAGTCTGATTGAGGCCTGATTCCTCTTCCTGTGCAAATATATCGTCCTTCTGTACGAAAGCCTTAAGATTTTACTTTAGTTGTAGAGCTCATGAATTTTAATATCATAAACACTTATTTTTATCATCAAACCTTCTGAATCTTAGGTCGTCATTTCAATTTGCAGACTCAGATATATCTTCTTTTCCTGAAAACTCGATTCTAATATTTGTTTAATTAGAGCCTCTTATTCATCTGCTCCGTTACAAAATTTCTTGTGGAACTCATATTCCAAGTCTTATCATTGCCTTCATGATGTAAATCATATGTGTTTGCTCTGTACTTTGGGATTTTTCTTTCACTTCATTTCCAAGGCCATTTAATTAAATCCTATTTTACTCGAGCCTACAAGATAAGGCTGAATAATGTAAGTATATTAAGTAATTATGAAACATTTGCATTTCTTGTCAGTTTGTGATTACCAAAGTAGTCACTAAGGGTGACTACTTTCACCTTTGATTGACATGGTAATTTTTAATGAAAATTTTCTTGAAGAATTGGTGTCAATTTCATGACAACTATTTGAACTCAAGTTTAAGTTCCATGACAATTAAGGACTATTATTATTATTTTATCCTTAGTGCTTGGTGCAGTGCTTTAAGGTAGCAAACAGCAAAAGTTGGTTTAATGAGTGAAAAAAAAAGTCCAAATTAATTAAAGAAGCAAATTACCACAAAATCAAATGTGAGGTTTTAATTGTAATTTAAGTATGAATTTTAAATAAAAGACTTTGAAAACTTCTCTAAAAAGCAAAGAAACCTCTAAAACTTGAAAACTCACCTGAGATTCTAGTCTGATGACACTGTGTAGGCAAGGAGGAGTGTGGGGATGGGAGAAGGACATACCATGGGGCCACTAATCTTCTAAATAGCACACTGTGTGGCTCTTAACACAGAATTCCTAGAAGGTGATTTTATTTATTTTTTTAAGCAAGTATATTGAAAACATCTACCTAGTTTGGAGGTGACAAATAAGTTAGATGATCTCACTGCCACAGAGTCGATTCTGACCCATGGCCAACAGGCTACAACTGCCCCTTAGGATTTCCATAGCTGTAACTCTTGATGGGAGTGGAAAGTCTCATCTCTCTCTGGCAGAGATCCTGTTAAAGTCTCCTTGATTAAAGCCCGCCTCCCGCCTCCCGCCTCCCAACTCATATTTAGTTAGACTTACAGAAAATAATAAGGACTTGTATAAACCTTGGATAAAGCAACTCAAGAATGTCTAGAGAACAAAGGAACGTAATTCCTTATGCTTTAAGAAAGCTCCTCAGAAGGGTACAGATTCTTGTCGAAGCTTTATCTCACAGGGAGATTTAGCTGAAGGCTATATTAATGGGTGTTGTTATAAGTAATATCTAAGTAGAGCAAGAACATAGCAACAAAAAAGTTCTAATATTAATATTAACTTGAAAACTCGTCTTCTCTCCTTTTTTGTCTCAGAGTAAAACATAAATGTTCTTGTTCATATAAAATTTAGGACTATTTATCATATTTTATGCCCTCCTTGAACTGATTGCCTTCATTCAATTTTTTCTTCAAAGTCCCTAACTGCAATGTTTCCAAACAACCCACTGTATGACAATAATCTTTCCAACTGTTCGGTTTGACATCTGGCCCCAGACTCCTTTACTAAGAATCTACAGTCAGGTATATAGTCAATATTCCCTATTATAATTAAGACAGGAATATGTTAAAGTACAATAATTCCCTGATGTTATTAATATCTTTCAGAACTTCAAGTAAATTCCAAGGGCAGATTTAAATTTGAATCTAAAATTTATAGAAATGGATGTGAGATTAATGATGCAAATTATGTTCCAATTAATTCTCATAAATCTATGCACAAATCATTTCACGATACCTTTAATTTCATCAATTTGTTTGTCCTTTACCACAGTCAAATCTATTAAGGCCTTAGAGTAATTGATATCAACTGCTTTCTAAATCAGTTCTCAACCTGTGGGTTGCGGCCCCTTTGGGGGTTGAACGACCCTTTCACAGGGGTCATCTGATTCATAACAGTGGCAAAATTAAAGTTATGATTTAGCAACAAAAATAATTTTTTTGTTGGTGTCACCACAACACGAGGAACTGTATTAAGGGGTCGTGGCATTAGGAAGGTTGAGAACCACTGTTCTAAATATATGCTCAGGATGTGTGCTCTGATAACCCTCTTGGGCTCACCACATTGAACATGACCTGCACTTTTGAAGTAACCATCTTGGTTTCTCATGTGTTCATAAGTAACTCCTTCCACAATTGTTATTGTTGTTAGGTGTCGGGTGAATAGATGTTGACTCATAGTGATTTAATATGACTGATTGAACAGCCTCATATGGTTTCCTAGGCTATAATTTCATCAGAAGTATATAGTCACTGTAACACCCCCCCTGCCCCAAGACCTGTTGGTTAACTCAGACCTTTCAGTCAGTAGCCCAGTGATCAGTCATTGTGTCTAAAAATAATTTACTAGTATGTATCTGAGACCATGCCTATTAACAGTATGCACAATGATTCTTGCCCTATTTTGTAAGTTCCTGAACTAAAATGTGAGTCCCCAAATTAAGGTTGATTAAGGTCCAGGAGTTCTGGTGGCATAGTAGTTATGTGTTGTGCTACCAACTGCAAGCTGGGTAGTTCGAAGCCACCAGATGCTCTGTGGGAGAAAGATAAGGCTTTCTAATCCTATAAAGAGTTACGGTCTTAGAAACCCAGAGGGGCAGTTCGCCCAGTCCTAGAGGGTCACTATGAGCCAGATTGACTCCATATTAGTGAGCTTGCGAGTTTGAGACAGTCCAGGAAACAAATAAAGCAGCGCAAGCTTTAGAGGTCCAGCTGACCAGTAGCAATCATACTGAGTAACAGATTTCCCCTGGTCTATTCATTGGTCAGTCAGTGACAAGTCTGCATAATTGTGGAAACACCTGATGTTCCTGGGAAATATATCAGGCAAAGGTGAAACCATCGTTAACTTAGAGAAAAGGCCACTTGAGTATCTCACGTTCTCTCTTGAGATTTAATTTGGGTAGGTCTAGGTTGTAGAGGAAAGTATATACAAACTGGATTCTATGTGATGGAATGATATTTATGATGATGTTTTTACATGTCATTCTTGTGCAGGGCTCAGGTAATCGTCTCTGTATCATTTCAGTTTTAGTATATCTGTCACAGAAGCAAGAATGCTAATGGTATTTTGTTGTTGTTAGGCGCCATTGCTTCAGTTCAGAGCAGCAGGAGACACTGCCTGCCCCTGCGCCAGCCTCACCAGCATTCCTCGGCTTGAGCACATGGTTGGAGCCAGTGTGCCAATCCAGCTCCCTGAGGCCATCCTGGTTTTTTTGGCTGCTCCTTTACCAAACATGATGTCCTGTTCCAGGACCCGTCTCTTCTGACAACACGTCCGAAGTATGTGAGGCTCCTTGCGCATCTAAGCACTCTGCTCATACGTCTGACAAGACAGATTTAATTGTCCTTTGGCAGTCCATTGTATTTTCAATATTCTTTCCAGCACCACAATTCAAATGCCTCGTTCTTCTTTAACCTTCCTGATGTTCTTCAGTGTTCGCCTTTCACCTACCATATGAGGTGAGTGACAATCCATGGCTTGGGTCAGGCACAAGTGAGTCCTCACATTTATAGTATCTGTGATACTGAGGTTTATTGGGCCAACCAGCCCAACACCGTATCCTTCCTGCTCTTCAGCATTCTAAGAGGTCTTGTAGGGCAGATTTACCTAACGCAGTACCATTTGATCTCTTGACTGCTGCTTGAAGGAGCACTGGTTGTGGATCCAGGCAAGATGAAATCCTTGACAACTTCAAACTTTTCTCCATCGATCATGATGTTAGCCCCGTGGTCCAGTTGTGAGGATTTTGGTCAGTTTTGAGGATTTTGTATTGCCTTAGATTTCTTGGCTTCCTTCTCCGTCTGATACCCCGGTGTTTGTAAGTTACCCTGTAAACATGATCTCAAGTAGGCATTCAGAAAGAACATCGACGTAGTCTGCACAGTTAAGGGAAGTCCTCTGCCATCTGCGCTTCCTTGAAGGGCAGATAGGGAAACCAGGAGGAAGAGGTGCACGCCTAAACGAAGCCTGCTGCCATCGACTGGCAGCCACCAGCCATCACAGACACAGAGGCACAACTTACCCTCCACTCTTCAAAGGTAGTATTTTTTGGAAACTTCTAAAATAACTGAAAGGACCTACCTTGATAACCCCATCAACTTGCTCTAAGGCAAGCTGTCCTTTGTCGATTCCAGCTAATCAGTTTTGCAAAGACTCCGTTTCACAAACATAGTGCAATATTTGCTCTCAAATGTTCCCTTCATCTCTGCTTAGTGAGGCAATCTGTATGTGCTTGGTTCCCTTCACAGATAAGTACATTTTAGTTGTGCTCTCACTTGGCAAACTTGTTTCATAAAGGCCATATGTAAATACTTGGGACTTTTAAGTTGTCTGATCTTTGCTGCAACTATTCAACTCTACTGTTGTTGACAAAAGCAACCACAAATGATACACAAACTAACAAGTCTGACTGCTTTCCAATAAAACTGTGTTCATGGGTATTGAAATTTGAATTTCATAGAATGTTCATGTGTCAGGAAATATTATTCTTTGGATTCATCTTCAACCATTTTAAACTGTACACATGATTCTTAGCTTGTGAACCGGGAGCAACAGGCTGCATTTCGTCCTTGGGCAGTAGTTTGTCAAACCCTACACCCATGGAATATTTGTGAGTTGCACTTTGACATAGAGTGACATGTAGAAAAATATAGGGAACCGAGAAGAACTTACAGAAAGATTTCTAAAGTAACCTGATTGTGCGAAAAGAAGGATTGTCTCCTGGGAAAAGCTAACCCCGAGGACATGCTTGGCAAAGCCCAGGAAGGGCTAAGGAAACAAACTGGAAGATCGCGTCAATATTTCTTCATTTCTTCTTTTCTCTTTTTGATGGATTTCATACTTCACAATGAAACCTCTGTTGCCTACTTATTTCATGAATAGCCTGAAAGGAAAGGAGTTAGAAATGCTACTTTGAATTAATCCAAGTCTTCTGGCATACATACATGCACTGTAACAGATTTATATCTGGCTGGTGGGCGAGCTTTTCTGAAAATCAGAGAGGAATGATGTCAATGTCTTGTAAGTGATTTGCTCAGAGAGTTTGTAGGAAGAGAAAAAAGTGATTAGTATTGTGGAGTATCTAGCAAGAACCTGGTAGTATGCTAGTACGTGTACAATGATCAATAGTTATGTATGCAGTGGGCACTAAGTACATCAGAATGGTTGCAATTATCACCTAGTATCTTCTTTGATTGGAACCAAACAACCGTCGGTCTTAAGTAACTGTTTTGCAGTTGAACTAAATCTTGTAATATTGTCATTTTTCCATGCTATGGAATCAATACTGGTGATGCTGGGCCATAACAGGTCCTCGGTAACTAATTATGATCTATTTAAATGAGTGGACACACTGAATTTAAAACCAATTCTTTCTAATTCAAAGTTTTTGCCTTTACATGGTGCAGTGGGTAGTGTGGCCAGGTGGCCATTTTAACACTAACGTTGTTCCTTGACCCGTTGCTGTGGAATCTGAACACGGAATTCATTAGCAAGGAGAGGCAAGTGAACTCCTAGACCCAGAAGAGATAGATGCTGCTGCACAGGGATTGGCAGTGCCATGTATAGAGTTATGATTAGCTCAATAATTGGTGACACTTAACACAGGGCTTTTGCCAAGAGCGAAAAGAATAACACGATTTGTTGTTCATATAATTAGATTTTTCACCTCAAGTGAAAAATAAATTGAGCACAAAATGCAGGCAGACCTGAAGTGGATGCTCAAAGTTGATGTGGGCCTTTAATTACAGGACGCATCCAGTGTAGAGCCTCTGACTCACGAGGCTGTACGGATTCAGATTCTGAAACACTGAAGCCTTTAAGACGACAGATTGCTGGTCAGCCCTGCAACGGCTCTGACCTCTAGGAAGTGTGAATCATTCACGCTGGCACTTCATAAGGATGTGCAATCAAATCCCACTTGAGGTGCCTTGAAATAATTCCATGGCTCTGCCCTGGAAACTTGTGTCAATCAGTAATCCGGGCTGCTCATCCTTCCCCACTTACTCCCTCCAATTTGGCAGCAGCTGAACCTTGGCGGCCAGAGATTTGCTAATGTACTGGCTCAAAGGCACACATTTCATGTTTCCTGTGCCCTCTCATTTCCTGCCTCTCCAGACACTACCTCTCCAAGGATCCATTTCCGTGTTCCTAATAATTACCCGACTCGGGAGACACTGAGTAGGAGACTGACGACCGTGTAACTGGCCTCTCATTTTCCAAAATATGATCTTCTATTGCCTTGTCGGAGTGTTCAGGAAAATCATATCTTTCCTGTATTACACAATACTGTGACCCAAAGTGAGAGGAGTGAAAGATGAGAAGAAGACGATTTTGTACTTGGAGAATGATGGGGTGGAAAGGAAGGGGTGTCTCGTGTACCTTTACAACATAATTTCAAGAATGACTGAGCCCAGAAAGCGCCGTGAGGTAGTTCTAGTGGGTTGCGCACAGTGGCTGTGAGTTAAAATGGACTGGACAGCACCCTCACAATCACAGTGATTGTAGGCACAGTTCCCTGTGGCTTCTAAGGAAGACGTACAGACGCATTTCTCATACAACATAGCTCCACGAAACCAGCCTTTCCCCTTTCCCAACTAAGTACTAAAGCATCAACTCCTTTGCTAATATAATGATACTTTTTTTGCTCTAGTCTCCAATTCCTCTATCTGCGCCCAAATTATGAGGTGAAATGAGTGGTTACAAAGTCTCCCTCCCCATACGAAATAAGCTAGGATAGAGTACGATGGGGCTTCAAAAAGTTCAAGGGAAAATTCTGTTCTCGCTCTCTTTTATTTTTCCATAAACTTTTTGAAGACCCCCCTCATATACGGTGGCTGTGTCACAGACCGGTGTGCTGTTGGGAGGACCATGGGTGGAGGGGGAGCCAACATGGCCTATGAGTTCATGGAGCTGAGTGAAAGGTCAGGGAGCCATTCCCAGAAATCTGGAAGTAGGCAGATTGAGGGAAGGCCAGGGGACCATTCCCAGAGGCCTTCAAACAGGCTGATGGAGGGAGAGATGCTACTCAAGCAGAAAAGGAAGTGGGAGGGGGACACAGGATGGCTGGCTGAGGCAGGGGATGCTTCCTCAGCCCCCCTCCCCACATAGGGCTTTGTTTTTACATGTAGTGATTGAGTTCTTTGCCATCGCAGTAAGATATACAAGAACTTGGAGTAAGTGGGATAGGCTGAAGGAATCATAATGCCCCCCACAGCTCTTAGTCTTGCCATGGGTTTGTGGGCATGGGTACCCAGATGGTCCATTGAATCCCTGCTTTTGCCTCTTATTTCAGAGGGTAGACCTCATCAAACGCCTCTTCTTTAAGGTACAATCTCACTAGATCACACTGGTTCCTTCTTTCAAATGTTGAATTCTTACGAGGATTTCAGTCTTTAGTAATTGACATGAACATCGCTTCCATCAGATGCTTACCTATCTCGACTGAGTAATTTGAAGAAACCATCAGACGCAGCAAGTTCAACACCAATGCATACTGGTATTGCTATTCTTCACGGCTTCCTATTATAGTTTCAAAACAAAATGAGTTTATTGTGGTTGTAAACTCTAAGCTGGACCTCTGAAAAATGTCAAAAATGATAAATAAACTTGAGAATCTTGAGTTATCTTCTGAACAGGGATGTTCAAGGAACAGCAAACTTTAAGGATTGAATCTGTCTATATTTAAATATTGAACAATGCAGGAAGCATCAAAAGACAATGGAAGGAATAAACAGAATCACTGTGCCCCAAAGCTACCCAACATTCAACCATTTCAAGAAGTAGCATATGATCAAGAATCGTTGCTATCGAAGGCGGAAGTCCAAACTGTACTGAAAGCATTTGCCAAAAACAAGGCTCCAGGAATTGATGGACCAGCAATGGAAAGGCTTCAAGAAGCTGAGGTGAGGAAACACTAGAAGCAGTATCTATTTATGCCAAGACATCTGAAAGACAACGCTCTGGACAACCAGCTGGAAGAGCTCCCGATGTGTGTTCGTTCCAAAGAATGGTCCGACAGAATGAGGAAAGTATCAAATAATATCATTAATATC